GAGGTTCTGCACTCTAAAAGAGTGTGAGAGTCACATTAACTCACTCGACAGCCCATGCGCGGGTATAAGGATGGAGATTGGGTGGCCCCCAAGCGTCCCCTTTGTGCATCCACATGATCTCCCGAACAAGGCTAAGATTGCTTTTCTTGAGACTTACGAGCCGGGATGGTCCGAGACGAACGAAATAGAGTGAAAAGATCGGCCAAGGTATCTAACTAAACACAGTTTATTTATTTATTATTTTTTTTTTTGAGATTGTAATCTGAAAATGAAATGGTTTATCTGAAATGTGAATTTGAATTTGTGTTTGTATTTGTTAGTGCTATGATTTATCTCTTCTTTAGGTCATAATCTGCGATTTTTCTTTTTATGGTATTTTATTTTTATTTTTTTTTTAAACTTGAGAGGGCCATGTAGTTCGGGCAATTAGGAAAATGAATATTCAGTAGTGCAGCGAGGAGTTAAATCACGAAAAATCCCATTACTTGAGAGGACGGTATATTTTAGGCAATTAGGAAAATGAATATTGGGTAGACCATTGAGGGTTTAAAATTCTGAAAATTACCACATGTTAAGCCTAATAACGATAAAGAATTCAGTTGTGGAGATAAAATATCAAGAGGTATTTGTGAATTTGAGGAACGGATGTGTCTGAGTTTTGTTTGTATTTCGACTAAAACATGGCGAATATTATGTTATATAGAAAAAAATTTGTATTTTAGCTTGAGTACTTTATCTTGCGATTAGTGCCGAGAAGCCCCAGAAAAGACGTAAGACCTCACTTTTCAAGTTTCATTATAATATTGTTCGACTTTTACATGTCTGAACTTTTATTTTCTTTGCTTGTTTTGCAGGCTTCTAATGTATTTGATCTGCTGGGGCCTCGTGACGCAAACCGTGCCATCACCAGTCGGAGCGTTGTCGTCCTAAAAGTCTCAGGCCCATGCTGATGGTTGGGTATGCATTTTTTTTTACCTCCCATGAAAATTTTGTAAAACATTAATAATTATCGAGAGCTAGGTTTATTTGCTTATGAGGGAAAAAGGAAGTAAAAAGTTGATGGGCTGTGCGGTTTTTCTTTTTTCTTCTTCAAGCAACTGTATCATTAACTATGTGATCTAGCAACTGTATTATCGTTAACTGTGTGATTTTTTATGTAATCCTTTTTTATTGTGTGTGGGGAGTTTGATCAACGTAAGATTTACGAATGTAAGTGATGCACAGTATTATGAGCATTTAGTTCCAAATTCTACATTTTTTTTTGTTTTGTTTTATTAAGTTTTTTCCAGAAAGATTTGGGATACTAAATTATTTTTCAATATAAAGCAGTGAGATATAGAAAGAATAACTGATAGTTATGGATGTGCGGATGGATGGATTTTACATTTGATATATAAATAAAATATGATGCTAAGAATGATTTTTGTTTTATAATAAATATATTGAAAATGTGAGAATATAGAAAAGTAAAATAGATAAAAATTGTAGTTTTAGATTTGTGATAATAAGCTAGTAGAAGTAAATCTTGTTTGTAAGCTAATGGAAGTAAATCTTTTTTTGACTAAGCTTGTTGGTCCATTAAATTTTTTTTGACTAAGTTTGTTGGTGTTTGTGACAATAAGCTAATAGAAGTAAATCTTGTTTGTAAGCTAATGGAAGTAAATTTTTTTTTGACTAAGCTTGTTGGTCCATTAAAATTTTTTTTGACTAAGCTTGTTGGTGTTTGTGATAATAAGCTAATAGAAGTAAATCTTGTTTGTAAGCTAATTGAAGTTAATCTTTTTTAATAGTCGCTAATGGAAGTTAATCTTTTTTAATAATCAAACACATATGTCTTCTGTGAACACTATTAATATGAGCTTGTTTACTATATTCTTTTGGTGAACACTAATTTAATATGACTTTGTTTTATTTTTATAATTAAAAATAAACAAGCTCAAACATGTTTTTTTGCTCCAAAGATAAAAAAATGAATAGAAAAAGTGTTCGAACATAATCAAACAAACAGAAGTTCGAAATGTTCAAACTTGGTTGTTTCCTTTATTCGAAAACCAACACATTCTCGAAATACTCAAACTCAGCTTTTTCGATTCAAGAGGTGATTATGAATTTAAAAATATATATTTTACTGTATCATTTGCTATATCAAAATTAATCTGGGCTATCATAGAGAATGAAAGAAATATAATCTGTAAAGCCCATTAGCATCCTCTTTTATCAATAAGTATAAACATTTAGCCCATTACCCAGGTGGCCAGGCCCATTCATTTCCGCCGTACAAGTGTGTAAACCCTAATCAACCACTAACACCGCCCACAGAGCTCAACAGCAGCGCAGGACCCGCCGTCAAAAGCGAAAAAAATAAAAATAAAATAAAAAATGGTGAAATTCATCAAGCCGAGCAAGGCGGTGATACTCCTCCAGGGTCGCTACGCCGGCCACAAGGCCACCATCCTCAAGAACTTCGACGACGGTACCCGCGACCGCCCTTACGGCCACTGCCTCGTCGCCGGCGTCGCCAAGTACCCGGCCAAGGTCATCCGCAAGGACTCCGCCAAGAAGCAGGCGAAGAAATCGCGCGTCAAGGCATTCATCAAGGTCGTTAACTACAGCCACATCATGCCCACGCGCTACACGCTCGACGTGGATCTGAGGGAATTCGCCGGCGCCGACGCGCTCGCGTCGCGCGACAAGAAGGTCACGGCGTGCAAGGAGATCAAGGCCCGGTTCGAGGAGCGGTTCAAGACAGGCAAGAACCGCTGGTTTTTCTCCAAGCTCAGGTTCTGAGGCAATTAAATTTTTTTTTTCTTCGATTGGGATTCGTGATTTTTGAATTTTTTGAGTTGTTACATTTATAAAAAAATTATATTTGCAGAATTATCTGTTTGAAAAATCTCTTTCCTTCCAATAATTTTATCAATTGGAATTTGAAGAATTTATCTTATTCCACAATGTCGGTAAGATTTGGTCGATTAGTCCCATTTTTATTAGGTCATTTAATGAGAACACCACTTGTGAAACATTTATTTGAATAAGCAATACAAACGAACATTACTTATTAGTTGAGAGATAAATTCTATGGGGTGATGGTATCCGTGAATCATTCCGTTGGGAATTGTAACTGGTAGATGAACTATCCCAACCGAGTTACAATTTTCGACGGATTGGTTCTGTAACGGGACCATAGCATTTTTCAAAATTTTTTGCAAGGCTGGGCTTATATTATTTTAACGAGCTGAGCTCGTTAACATTGGTTTAATTCACCAGATGAGCTATTATGTATTTTTTTGAACTTTTACTTGGCTATTGATGAACTAGTTAATATTGAGCTGGTTCACGGACACCCTCAACATAAGCAAAAGTACCAGAGGCCCATTACGATGTCCATTAGAAAAAGGGAAATTTACGTATATAGACTAACTCCACATGACGTGTATTCTCATATATACGACCCGTAAAAACTTCAAGCAAAAATGGATTTGATATTAAATTTTTTTTTTTTCACAAATTAGGAGATTTGATTCTCTCACCAAATAAAAAAACATGCAATCAATTTGTCTGAAATCTACGCAAACAAAACAAAACTTTCGAAAAGGAAAAATATATACTCCGTATTACAAATATGATAACTCCAATTCAGGGTTTCACGTATTAAAAAAAAAAAAAAAAATCAAACGGAATTTTCTATTGGAGAAAAAAAAATGGAACGGGAAGATTCTGGAGGTGGTGATTTTTACGGAAGATTCAGCGAACATGTTGCAGATACTATGATGAAAATATCAAATTATACATAAGATAAACTTGAGATAAACAACTTTAGAATACTTGGAGTCGTTGGAAGCATCATTCCAATGTCTTTGCCACCATTTGTGTGTGATATAGCTGCAGTAAGATGTTTGAAAATGACACGGGGAGATTCAGAAGGTTATGGTTTTAGCAGAGGACTAGAATGAGTCTCGTGATGCAGGGGTAAGAGATATTTATTAATATTTATAAATTAAAAATTCTTATTAAATAATATTTTTAAATTAAAAATTGAATCAATATATAATACAATTTACCTATATTGAAAATATTATATAAAGTTTAAATTGTGTAAAATTACATAAAAATGCATGTTTAAAATTAGTACACAACCCGTGCGGTGCACATAACAGATAATAAATTACATTATATTTGTTTCAAAATAAGTGTCATTTTAAAGCTTTTATCCAGAACTTCGATTTGACTATAATATGATTCCATAAAATAGTTATTTTGGTAAAATTTTATCATATATTTAACAACTTATGTGAATAATAAAAATAAATATAAAATTTATATTGTTTCATTACTTAAAATAAATTTATTTTTTGTATTAACTATTCAAATAAAAAAATAAATAGTTGAGTAATTTATTAAACTATAAATAATTGACTATTTCGTCTACGTCCAAATTAATACTGACACGTAAGTTATTGAGTAATTTATTAAACTATAAATAATTGACTATTTCGTTTACGTCCAGTTAATATTGACACGTAGTTATGAACAATTATTTGTATGATTTTTAATTTTAAATAAAAACGATTTATTTTTTTAATATATTATATACCAAATTTAAGTCATGCAACTAATAAATGTAACAACCGCAAATTTTGTCAATATATTATATTCCAAATTTAAATCACACAACTAATAAGGGTAATAGCCGCAATATTTGACCAAAAGGATTATGTACATTAATTACATTAATTTAGACCGGATTTTTTAAATTTTGGCTAAAAAATTAGTCAATGTAGTAAATCTGAAATTTTAGGCGGGAACAAATGTTTTTTTTTTACTTATTTCAGTTACCGTTTTAAGTAAATATCATTGTCTCTCTATATATTAATATATTCGCCGAACATGCTGCAGACACTTTGCTGAAAACAACAAAGTATACGGAAGATTAACTTGAGATAAACAACTCTAGAACAACAATGTAGCATATTCCAAAGATTAAACACTTATACTAAAATTATACTTTAGATAAACATGTTAATCAAACCATGATATACCAAACGTACTCCAAGTTTAATCAACTATGCTAAACATATACAAATTATATGTTAACATATGCAAATTCAAACCATGACGGCATAATCCATAAGACGTTTGGGTATACATGAGATAAGCAATATCTGTATGACGTTTAGCTATACAAATTTTCTCTTCAAAATTCATTTCTTAGAAAAAATGCATCGTCACTTACGATTTTTTTAGGCCAAATTTGGGGTTACCTAATGATTCACTGTCGTCATTGGAGGTGTCCAGTCCCATTTCAATTAAATGTTCATCTTCATCATCATCAAGTATGAACTCCGAATCCAACTCCTGTAGCTTCTTTGGAGATTCAACCATTTTCGCTTTACCCTTTTGGTCTCTAATCCTCTTTTTCATTTTGTCCGAAATAATTTTTCTGATGTTTAACGTTGGGTTCGGACACAAAATCGTCATCGTCCTCGGTTTTACCTTCGGCCACCTTGGTTGTGTGCTTTTTGGATCCCTTGGAGCTCCAATTTCTGGAATTGAAGTTTCTTTTGGACGACCTTAGGCTCGGATGCTTGAA